AGGTGTAGGGGCAGCGGATAAGTAATGCTCACTTAATTTTTTGGGGGAATGTCAAGGAAAGCAGCAACTTAGAGAATGTGAGACATAACTTAGGTGGATCGTGCTGAAATAGAACATGGGGATGTCGTCTAAAGTGAAGTGACTGAGAATCATGTTCAGTGTCAGGCTTTGGTATACCCACATTCTTGAAGCCCTATTAATAAATAATTTATATAGTACATACATTTTACAGTGCTTTTGGTACTGATTCATATTAAGAGTATTTTATCTTTTAGTATAAAAGTTATTAATATTTTGAATTTCAAATACTATTTAAATTGAACCAAGTATTTTCATTTTTTCAGAGAATTTTCAAAATATACTGAATAGTGCTATCGTCATGGCACATTTATGCCAAAGGTAGTCAATAACATGTGGATTGTTACTGTATTATGTAGCAACTATGAAGTGTAAGTATCATTAGTAATTAGAATGAGACACACCATCACCAGTGAAATCTGGAAAGGAAGGAGCAAGTCTCTCTAAGAATGTGTTCAAAACGACAATTACAGACAACATAACGCGTGATATAGTGGGACAAGACAAAACAGTTATGTAATTTTCAGAATTTGACCAGTTTCCTTTGCAATTCTCATGTTACTGTGTTGCTTATTCAAGTGATGTGTTTATGATTATTTTGCGAATAAGAAGACGTAAATGTTTTAGTGTAAGCAGCTGCTGTGCTTCATGTTACCGAAAGTTTATGACTAAAATCAAAACGGATGATGTGGATGCAAAACTGGAATATGAAGAAAGGCAAATTTAGTCCTTTCCTACTTTTACAGGGATTAAGACAAAACAATTCTTATCAATTTAAAATTTATTTATGCATCGATAGTAAAACATCTTATCATTTACTCTGTTTAGTGAAGCAACACATTAAAACAAGGGTACGATTTAAGAAATCGTTACCAGTTGAATATTTTGTAGATTTAGTCTTCCACGTTTCTGATGTATTATTATTTAGTGTTCTGTCTGACGACAAGTCCATTATTCTGCCCAAAAATAGTTCGCCAGTTTTCCCTACTCTCAGCTTCTCGTTTTCTCGTTTTAACTCTTGATTCTGATGTATAAATTCGTATTTGTTTAAATCTTGTCAGTCTAATCACAATAAAATTCCTATTAAATATTAAAATATTATTATAATTAACATTTAAATATTTAAAATATATTAAATGATGTTCTCTATAGAAATGTTCGATTTACATTAGATCATCACTTTTTTACACGACATGTTTCATCTAGGGTCCTTTGCAAATTAGCAGTTCTTTTTCGTGGTGAATCTTCTCCAGGAAGAAATGGTTCCTGTCATCGATTAGTTGGCGCATGCGCAGGTATATCGATCTCGGCTCTTCGTTCCACTGAGTAGGTTGAGCATGAGATGAAGGCAGGCAGTTGAACCACGTGTAAGGCATGTGAAAGAGTTTAGTCTTTCCAATAATATGTGGTTCTTTAAATCTTCTGATAGGATGTTTGTGGGAAGCTACATATAACTGGAAGTTGATAAGTTGTATAGAAAAGAATAGAATTTATTTACATTCCATAGATCCTTTATAGGCCTAATTCAATGATGTAGAACAGGTCATAGCAAAAATGCAGTACATGTTTCTAGTACAAATATAAATACACAGTAATAACAGCTATTTAGAAATTTTTGGAATTCCAGTATTATAACAGAGTAATTATGATGAGTAACCATCACCATTATTAGTTTCATGTATTTATAATAGTTAATACTTTTTGGGTGATGTAAATTCTTCTAATGAGTAGAAGAAGTGAAATAGGAGACACTCTTTTAACACAGTCTTAAACATTTTTATATCGTGATTTAAACTTTTGATTGTAGATAGGGGATTATTGAATAACATAATTCCAGGTAGTAAACTCCTTTTTGATATTTAGTGAAGTTAGAATTCAGCACATGAATGTTGTATTTGTATCTTGTTCTTATATTGTGAATATCTAATTTGTTTTGTTATCCACTGCAAATAATAGTGAGAGCAAGAATTCACTGGGTAGTTGAAGAATATTAAACTTCTTAAATAATTCCCTACAAGAGGCTCTCCTTTTAGTGCCTGCCATTCTAATGATACTCTTTTGAATGTAAAGTATGTTTATGCTGTCTGTTGAATTTCCCCAGAAAATGATTCCCCTGATGATGACATGATGGAATGGAAGTAAGCAAAATAAACTAATTTTAAAGTTTCTGTTTTAATGAATGCTGCAACTGCCCTCATAACAAAACATGCCGAGCTTAGTTTAGGAATGATATATTGAATATGTGTTTTCCAGTTTAATTTGTTTGTCAATTTGTAGGCGAAGAAATTTAGTTGTTTCTATTTCCTCGATTATTTTATCAACATACCCCACATTTCGATTTACACAAATTCTGTTGTAAGCACAAAATTTCATGAAATTTGTTTTGTAAAAATTTAATGTGAGTTTGTTGGGGGCAGATCATTGATATATATGAGAAAAAGCAGAGGACCATATATTGAACCTTGAGGCACTCCAATTTGAGTAGGTGCTGTCATTTGAATAAGATGATTTTATTTGTAGTTGATTTCTGTCATGAAGATAAGATTTAAACCACTTGCCAGCTATATTTCATGTGATGTGTTTTGAAATCTATTCAAAGAGGTTGTGACCAATAGTTATATTTTGAGTTTGTCCAGGATTTGGGATGATTTCTTGTAGACTTGCCACTCTGGTCAGATTTCTGTGTTAATCTTATATACTTTCTGTGAAGCAAAGCACCATCTTTCAAGCACTTGACCTCAGTGTAGCAATTGCCAAGATGAGGGAATAACATTCAAATGACTACAAGAAAGATTTTAGCTATTAATCTAACCTTATAAGCTGTAATGAGTTTTGTCTCCATCTTCAAGCATTATTCCTTTCCAGTATCTGAACTGCTGTTATTCATGCATACAAGAATCCAGTTATATAGAACATAATAAAAATACATTGCATTCTGCTTGGAATTTTATTTTTGTGTTTGTGCATGTGCCCTCTGTTGGCTGTTTAGAATGGTTAAAGATTTAGGCAGACTGGGCTGTTGGATATTGCATTTCTTTTAAGAAGTTGAGATATGGCTAGAGGCAAATTGGTTGCGTTTTGCATTTCACTCTCTTAACTTGCCCCCTGGACCACCAGGCACACGGAAGATTGTACTTTCAAGTGTTGTTGTGTGTGTGTGTTTTTTTTTTATTATTATTATTATTCCCCCCCCCCATCATTTCTCAGATTTTTCCTGTGTAAGACATAGTTTACCACTACGCTACTATGACAAAGACTTTGGAAGCATAGGTGTGTATTCATCAGCCTTTGGAGCGTTGTAAACATTGTGGCATAACTGGCATATGTAGTTTTCGCCCTTCTCGGCTTTCTGCGCATGATAAAAGTATTTGCTTTCGTAGTGGCATGTATTCAGTCTTTTCATAGGACATTAAGGAGAATTCATTGCAGTTAGGAACTTGATGTGAACAGTGTTTACTGTATTGAGGAAGAAACTAGAAAGTGTGTGGAGATGTCGTATGTCAGTTGAGGTTATGTGTCGTTGCGTTTCGAGGGAGCAGTGAAATAGATAAATGCCATGAGAAATTGGCAGCATTGATGATTGACCTGGTTAGCATTGGAAAAGTATTGGTTAGGTCCAATGTACCTTCACTTTAAGAATTTTATATCCACACTCTGGAATGTGAAGTATGGCTTGTTTCTCAGTTATGGGTGTGTCTGCGTATCACCAGTGTCTTGACTTCTGTAAATGCTGTAAATGTTTTAATATCTCTGGGCTGTTGGCATACAGATTATGCCATACAGTAGGGCCCCGCTTTTCGGCGCTCCGCTTTAAGGCGATTCGCTAATATGGCGCTCAACAGCTGATTCAGAGAAGTGCGTCCGGCGCCATTTTCTCGTCGCTGATTCAGTCTGTTTACAGCTTTTGTGCGGTCTGCGTCTCCGTATTTCTGGCAATTTTTCAAAGTTATTACAAACTGTATATTTACGTAATATTTTTGTGTTACTACAGTGTAATTACAAAGGCGTCTAAGGGTAGTAGCGATAAAAAGAGGAGTCGTAAGCCTCTTACTTTAAATGCCAAGTTAGATATGATTAAACTTCGTGAACAAGGCATGTCTATGGCCGAGATAGGACGTAAGCTAAGCCTAGCTCGCCAAACTGTTAGTGCAATCGTGAACGCTAAGGAGAGTGTTAAATGAAATTAAAAGTGCCACACAAATGAACTCTAAAGTTATAAGAAAAAGAGATAGCCTTATTGCTGACATGGAAAAACTTTTAGTTGTGTGGATTGAAGATCAAACGAGCCACAATGTGTGTACTACTGATATTCATTTTACTTTCATATCGTTTTCTTAGGCCTAGCGCTATTGTGCACTTACTATATGATAGTGTAAACATCTTATTAGGCTTTGATAAGCATTTACAAGTGAAAAAAGGTAAAGATCCGCTTTACGGCGGGGTTCTGGTCCCTAACCTGCCGTATAAGCGGTGCCCTACTGTACTTTAGGTCATTCAGAGTGCATTATGTGGGGATTTATCACAGTGTGGTTGACTTCTGGCCCCTACAAGCCTGCACTGGCATGGACCTTTTTGCACTATAAAGTTTGAATTTGGCCCTGGTGAAAATGATAGTAAAAACATTTCAGGCCATTCTATAATCATACATATCTTATGCTTATTGCATTATTTGCTTAGGGAAGTATGCTAATTTCTGACATTCAAATAGGCATCAAACTACCTACATGATATTACTCATACTTAAAAATTAAGAAAACATATTTTCATCCAAGTACAATCGGAGGATCACTTGGCAGCGAATATAATGGCTCGTGTCTTCTTTATTGTTGCATCAGGCTGATGATGGAGGCAGCAAGGACCTCTGAAATGTCTGTAAACATCTACAAGACTACATGGTTCAACATCTCAGAAGACAGCCATCTTCAGACTCACTACCGTGAAAACCTCAGATCCTGAAAGTGAGTAGCAAGTTACCATGGCGTTGTTTTACGCTGTGGCATGTGCTTAAATGTAGGCTAATATTTTGTAAATATTTTGCAGGGTCCATCAGTAATCAGTGATAACTCTTTTGGGGTTAGAGTGTTAATTGAATTTTCAAGCACAGGAAGTTTCTTAAAAAACATAACATAGAAATTGTTATTTTTTTAAAATAACATTAGTCAGATGAGCTCCGTCAGGCTGGACATTCTGTCATAAATGTGTGGTGAAGATCCTCTTTATGCACTGCAACATCTCTGGTAGAATCTTTTTAATTTACTCCTGGATTCATGTTTAGAGATCGCCAAGGGTTGCTGGCTGTTTGACATACGCTTCTCTGAGTTTTTGATTTGGAGTTTGCGAATGGTGAGTTTTATTTTCTACTACAGGCAATCCACTGAACAGCTCAGATAGGGAATTTAAATTTCTATTCAGACTTTTCCATTGAAGTTAATATCTTGGGAACTATGTCACCTAATTCAACAGAATAGAGAGATCATTTACAATATAATGAAGTAAAACAGTTGTTCGGTGTTCATGTTGGCAGGACTGTAACCTTAGCTAATGTTCAATGTTTTCATGTTGGTAAGACTGTAACCTTAGCTGCTGTTCGGTGTATAATGTTAGTACTGGAATCTTTGCAGCTTCTGCCTTGTGCCTTCGTCGAGGAAAGGTCGCTGCAAGTTCTGTACGAATTTGAAGTTTGTTTTAATAAAGAAATAGTCCACTGTAGTGGGACATACGCCCACTCAAGGAACATTTTGGTCCTCCGGGCCGGATCTGAACACGAAAGTTTCGGTTTCAACAAGCATACTTCTACGTAAAACGACGTTTCGGAGATGGGACTCTATCTCTAGACGATGGATAATATCCAAGAAAATTTTTATTCAATTGACTCTTCACCATCGTCAAGAAGTTTTAGATTTGATATACTTCTACAGCTTACAAGTAACAGATATTGGAAGTTGCATTCCAAGCATGATCAAGCAGCGACATCACCAGCCAGGTACTACGTACCAGACATGGCATTTTGGATATAACAGACATCGAACGTATCTCACACAAGAAGCACCAGCATCAAATGAGGTAAATCATGTCTCAGGATTCCACATTAGCAAAATTATTAAAGAAACAGGGCTTAGTCAAGGTACGATTGACTAGGTTTTCTACATTCTTAAGCACATTCAGTGCTGAGATTGGAGTACAGCAACTCAAGTTACGGCATTCCAAGGCTGAGGAGTGTTACACAGAGTATGATGCAATTCAAACAGAAATAGAAATGTATGATGATAGCGAAGTACATGCAAATGACTGGCAAGAATTTGAGAAAGCATATTTTGAAGCTATGGCGGAAGCACAGTCATTGATTCAAACATACGAGGGCACAGACGTCATTAACAATTTATTGATAAATCAAAATCGGTGTTCAGAAGTTAAACTGCCAAAGATTTAATTGCCATCCTTCAATGGGGGCTACGATGAATGGTTGCCATTCAAAGACATATTCACATCTTTAATTCGTAATAACAGGTTTTTATCAGACATTCAGAAATTTCATTACTCAAAGTCAACTCTGAAGGGACAGTCAGAAAAGGTAATTCACTCACTACAAGTAACAACTTGAAATTATCCCATCGCCTGGCAAATGTTATTTGAGAGGTTTGAAAACAAGAGAGTTATTGCACAGACTCATGTCAGAAGTCTTTTTGAGTTAACAAGAGTGGAAAGGGAATCAGCTGCTGCCCTTAGGAAACTGCTAGATGACACATTAAAGCATTTAAGAGCACTCAAGGCACTTGGACAACCTACAGAGCATTGGGACACACTCATTGTGCATTTATTAACATCAAAGTTGGATCAAGTTACCTTATGCCATTCGGAAACGACAAGTCAGAAAGATGTGATGCCGACAATAAAGGACATTACAACGTTTTTACAACAGAGGAGTCAAATCCTGGAGGCCATGGAAGGCAATTATAAACACCGAACAAGGAGTTTCAATGTCAAGCCACAACGTAACCACCTATGAAGCATAATCAGGCAATGTCAAGCTTTGTCTCACGTCAAACCACTTGCAGCATGTTCAATGGAGACCACCAGATATTTAAATGTCTCAAGTTTCTGCAATTGAATTATGAGGAGAGACGTGAGAAGGTAAAGAAATTAAGACTTTATTTCAACTGTTTAAGGTCAGATCAAGCAGTGCACATCAGGTCACTGTAAACAGTGCAACAAAAGACACAATACATTACTGCATTCACCTCAGAGAATCAATACAAAGGATAAAGGGGAAGATGTTACAACATCAGAAACTAGCAAGGAGGACTCCTTTGTAGCTCATTCAACCAATCCAAGTGAAACTCGAAGTTTTACTTGCCACTGTGCAAATTGAGATCTTGGACCAGAAAGGTCATCCAGTCACATGTCGAGCCATATTGGATTCAGCATCCCAGAGTCATTAAGTCATAGTCTGGGTCTACCTTCGAGAAACCAAGTTGGGCTGGGTAGTAACAGGTAGGGTTGTTCCTGTTACTTCAGCAAATAACAGTGTGCAGTCTCAGCATTACTCATGACATCAGTCATCGATTACAACTTTTCTGGTAGTTGGAAGAATGCAACAATGAAAGGGTTCTCACAAGGGAGGACAGAAAATGTGAGCAATATTATTGTGAAAAAACAAGAAGATTGGACACAGGTAAATACGTGGTCAGACTGCCTCTTAAGGACAATCCAGACTCGCTAGGTGAGTCAAGAAAAATGGCCAAAGAGAGATTTTTCAAGCTTGAGAAACGACTCTTGAAACAACACAGTGTAATGATTTCATGAAGGAATATATGTAGCTAGGACATATGGAAGCTGCTGCAGATGACCAACATGAAGATGACACATCAGTCAAGAAATAGTCCACTGTAGTGGGACATACGCCCACTCAAGGAACAACAGCGTTACATTTAGGTGATGTAAGGGGCCATTAAAATAATAAAAATTTGCGTACATTTGTTATTGTTAATTATTGATGAATAATGTATTGGATATGTAGAGAACGCCGAAAGTACTGAAAAAACTGATGCGCACACTTGTAACTTGATATTCCTTTTATGCATAAAAGCGTCTTGTTACAATAATTAATTATCTTGCTATATCTGGTTTCCATTCCCGTGCGGTGCAACTGTTGTATTGTGTGGGAGGAAGCAGCTTTGAGTTTTCAGAATGGTGAGTTTCTATTTGTAGGCTTTTGCAATAAAATTAATATTTCAGGTAGTATTTCACCAAGTTCAACAGAATAGAGAGATTATTTATGACATAATGAAGTAAAACACAGTGTTATTTATAACTGATGTAAGGGACCATTAAAATAATATAACTCCTTAATGTTGCAATAATTAATTATCTTCCTATATCTGTTTTCCTTTCCAGTTTGGTGCAACGGTTATCCTGTGTGCTTGCCTGTGTGGTAGGAAGCAGCTTTGCATATGCAGGATGGTGAGTTTTTATATGCAAACTTTTACAATAATATAATATCTTAGGAACTATTTCACCAAATTCAGTGAAATAAAAAATACAATTGATCATAATGAAGTCTATCATTATATATAACTGATATAAAAGGCCGTTATAATAAAACTTTACGTACACAAATTCCTGTTGATTATTGGTGAATTTGTGGATCATCAGTGTGGGTTCAGACGAAACAGATCAACAATTGATCAGATCTTTTGCATTCGTCAGATACTAAAGAAAAAATGGGAGTTCAGTTGGACCATACATCAATTATTTATAGATTTGTTAAGAGAGAAGTGCTATATAATATTCTTATTGAATTTGGTATACCAAAGAAGCTACTGAATTTAACAAAAATGTGCTTAAATGAAACCTGTAGCAAAATTTGAGTAGGTAAATATGTATCTGAGACATTCTTCATCAAGAACGGTCTAAAACAAGGAGATGCTTTGTCTCCCTTCCTCTTTAACTTTATGCTAGAATATGCCATCAGGAAAGTCCAAGATAGGCAGGAGGGTTTGCAATTGAATGGGACACATCAGCTATTGGCATATGCTGATGATGTTAATTTATTGGGGGACGATATGAATACATTAAAGAGGAATGCAGAAGTTTTACTAGAGGCTAGTAGACAGGTGGGGCTAGAAGTAAATTCAGAAAAAAACTAAATACATGTTAGTATCTCGTCGTCAGCAGACAGGCGGGCAGAATTATCTTAGGGTGGTTAGTAAATACTTTGAAAGTGTGACAAAGTCCAAATATCTGGGAACAACAATTACATCAAAATTATATTAATGAAAAATTAGGAGAACATTAAATTCAGGAAATGTGTGTACATTTTCAGTTCAAAATAGGGATTAGCTGTATCGATTGGGCCCTACAGATTAGGTTTTACCTGAAGACGGAGATACACTCCCATCTGAGAAACGTCGTAGCTTTTATTGATTTTATTTAGTATTGGACAATGGATAACATCCAGAAAACTGTTTTCTTCATCAAAATATTTTGTCTTCCCGTCTGATTTCTAAGAGCCTGAAGATTAAAATATACAAAACAATAATTTTGCCTGTTTTGTATGGGTGTAAAACATGGTCTCTCACTCTGACAGAGGAACATAGATTGTAGGGGTTTGAGAATAGGGTGTTGAGGAGGATATTTGGGCCTAGGATAGAAGACGATGGTGTATGGAGAAAACTTTATAATGATGAGCTTTAAATTTTGTTCTCCTCCCCCAATACTGTCAGGGTGATTAAGTCAAGAAGAATAACGTGGATGGGGCAAGAGGTGTTTATAGGGTATTGATCAGGAACCCTGCTCGGGAGACCTAGACATAGATGGGATGATAATCTCAGGTGGGATCTATGGGAGATAGGAGTTGAAGGCGACTGTATTTTGCTGGCCTAGGATAGAGTCCGGTGGAGGGCTTTTGTTAATTCGGTGATGAACCATCAGGTTTTCTAAACCATCTTGTTAGTTAATTATCTAATGGGTATTTGCAGCTAATGCTGAAAGTACTGAAGAACTTGATGCACACTTATTTGTAACTTGGTATTCCTTGTATGTTTGTGACAATGTCTAAAGCATTGAACATGTAAGGTGGTGTATTTATCATTTACATGCAGACTTGTACCACAAAAGTACCGGGTCTACAATTTATGCTGTAACGGCCTTGCTTGCATTGCGTGCTCGGCCGAGTGCACTGTTGGTGTGGGATAGAGATAACGTGTTATTCCCGTGAGTCACAGGCGAATCAGTTTCATTGCGTGTCTCGTCGCGGATTGACGTTGATAATATGGTGTACAGTATTAAGCAACGTGTGTTCTTAGTTGAAACATATGCCAAGTATTCATCTTACGGAAGATGCCGCCGTAAATATCGCAGACATTTTCCCGGTGAAAGTGTTCCTAGCAGGCCCACGATAGAGAGATTAATAAAAAAATTTCTTAGTACGGGATCAGTTTTGGATAAAAAGAAGAACAGGAAATGGAGTGTATTGACGGAAGAGAAATTGGATGAAATTGG